CGCTCTCATGCATGCATCCCACCTACTCGCATAGCACCAGAAATCCGCTCGTGTAGTCCTGGACGAGACCGAGTTGGCGCCAAGTGCGGAGCCTCTGTCGCGCCGCAATCGAAACCGCAATTGGCTCGGAACAAGCGCGCAGACCTGCGCACCACGCGTCCCACGTGCGATACTAGGGCACCTCCATGAAATACAACTGCTCCCAGGGTCCGGTTTGTCCTTCCCGTGTCGGTAGAGTCACGTAGTCCACCAGCTTCGTGACGATGACACGCCACCAGTCCATGGCGGGTCCTCGCAGCAACGACACGGCGTAACGAATCTTCACCATATCCTCCGAGACGTAGTCCGCGTCGAAGAAAATGTTTAACGTAAAAAGCCACGCCTGAACGGTAGGACCATCCCGTTGACTTGGGCCAAAGCATGGCGGACGCTGCGGCTTCGGCGGCATCGACGACGGTCAAGCTGATTCGCCGGCCGGCACTAAAATCGTGACTCGAGGCTGATTCGTGGCCGCATTCGTTTTATTGGGGTGTGTCGTGCCGTGGTCGTCGTCTCCGTCATGGCCGTGTTGCGATGCCTGTGGTGCGGGCTGAATCGGATTGTGTTCGTGCGAGGTCGTTTTGCAGTGAGGTACATTCCGCCGTTAATGCGGCAAATTCTTCAGAGTTCTCGTGCAGTTGTTGCAGCAGCTCGTACAGGCGGTCCTGCGTGAGGCTGGTGACATCAATATGTTCTGCCATTCTGAAGGGCATCGGCTCGTCTTAGTCTAGGCACAGTCGTGACTGCATGCGTTTACGAGAGAACGCGAGGACAGCGGCTCCTAGGTGCTAAGGTGCGTGAGTCCCTTCGAGTGAAAAATCCCAAGATGATTTCCTAGGGTGCGGAGATGCGCGGTCCAAAAAGGAAAGAGGCTTTGAATACCAAGTGTTACGGGGTAAAATGAATCGAAGTAGCGAGAATCGCACTAAGGTGTCAAACGAGTAAAAAATGTGAGCGAAGGCATGAGCGAACATTTATACGCGAAACATGCAAATGGTAACGCGGTGTGTGCGAGCTAGCTAGTGCTACGTTGGAAGCAAGGCTCAGGCTAGTCCCGAAGCGTAGGCTGACATGGCCGGGCCAGTATTTCGAGGTTTGGTGAAACAGTGCGAGCGAAGTCGGTGAAGCCCCGTTAGCAGCAACGGGCGAACAACGGCTGCTGTTGTACGCGATGTTGCAAGGCGCGCTAAGGAATATCGAGAAATTCCGTACAGAGGTATATGCCAAACTGAATTCCCAGCTCTGTGTTCCCTGCACCTCATGGGTGTAAGGTGACCTTAGAATGGCTCTCTTAGTGTGCTCATTAGTTGGGTGTGTAATGCACAGAAACCAGAATTTTGGGTCAGTATGATGGCTGGCTTTTTCTACTGGTTAGTAAGGTATTTAGTTTTCTAACGTACTCTGGTTCGAGTTTCCACTGTGTCGCTCAGGGAATGGAGTTTCTAACGGAACGGTCACTTGCAGAACAGACAATCACATCCACTCAACAGAATTCAGGTTCTCCGTTAAATGCAGTTGTAAAACGGCGAGCTTGTGGGAACCCTTGAAAATGCAATCATAGCCGGGTTACCTCGAAGATTACTAAGAACCTTCGCAATTCGCGTGGTACCCTTGACAGTAAATGTGCTGCAAGCTAAAAGCTGTAGATTATCGGGCGGCACGTGGTTGGGCTGATCTCTGACAAATGGGACGGTGAATTCCAGCCAGCTCAATGTGTACACGCCACGCCCAGGTCCGAAACGACAGTTGAGGCGGGTATGCAAGCAGGACAAGATACGCACGGTCCATCAGGTCAGGGGAGGGACTATCATGCCAGACTTGCCAGTGGCCGCAAAAGCAGATTCGAACAAATTTGAGTCGGGTACATGCTGTAATCAAACTTGGTCGGGCGTGTTCAGTGCTGCATCAATCTGAGGTCGATCTACGTCAAAATTGTTGGGCGAGGCAGGCAGTGAGCAAGGTGGTGGAACACAGTCTCAAGGTGTCCACCGCGAATACACTGTGAAGTACAAGTCCCCGCGATTGCACTTTGTGCTGGGGCGGTCTGGGCCACGACTTGCAGTGAGGAGCATTCTCGAAAGTACAAAAGGTTGTCCGGTAGATACCCAAGAATTTTCTCGTCATTTTAGTGACTTGTAAGCGACCATGTATTCGCCGAGCTCGCAAGAGTTCGCCACAGGTAAAATCGGGACAGTAGTGGGCAGGTGTAGCAAGCGTCTCAAAATATATCACGAACGGACGGATGTCAGCGTGATAAGGTGGATGCTCAACGGCTGAGATCGAAATATGGGTCTGTAACTTGCGGGCAACTGGCTGGTACCGACTGTAGCTGGGCAGACTGTTGGTATTCGGCTGACCAAATTTGCGTGCACCAGCTGAGCATCCTGTGTATTATTTTCGAGTGAGGAGCTTCAGGCTGAAAAGTTTTGGGGAGCAAATGAGGCATCAAATGAACTGTACTGGGATGGACGCTGTAGATCACAACCTCGTCAGGGCTGCCTAGCCACCCTCGGAGCATACACAGTGACGAGGCATGAAATATATTTCTTTCCTACAGTCCGTGTTTTGGTCGTGATTGAACCAAAACACATTTTGTTGTGTATGTTTTTGTTTTTGTCTTTTGTTTTAAGTTTTTCCAGCGTTGTGGACAAAACGTACCATCGCATACAGTTGAACGCGCAATACGTCGCTTCTGTGTTGCAACATGGCAAAAAATACACTGTCGTTTGTACAATGAACTGTAAACTGCTGTATGCGTCGTACAAATGTGTCCGTCCAGCAGTTCAGTCATCGTTCATCCAGTACACTAATGTACGCGTCATTTTGTCATGCGTAACTGGCAGGCTGACTTTGCTTTCTCAAATTTTCTGTTTAACTACAGTACTGAGCCCCGAATGTTTGACTTCCAGAATTAGACATTTGGCTGCCAGGTCTGCATCATCAGACATCCAACACCATGTTGGACTCCACATCCCATGCACCCTAATTCGCGCCACACTGACATAGATGCTTCCAAATTGGTCCTAGAACATGCCGTATAAGCACTTCTGCCGCATGAAACCGAACTCAAAAAAACGTTTTGGTGTATAAACCGTTGTCTACCGTTCTTCTGAAGTGCATTTCGGTTGCAAGTACCAGCCCGCTGAATCCAAGCACACGTGCGTTCTGTAGCCAGGGCTACCGATTGTTCGAACATCGAGAAACAGAGTGTACGCCTTTCGCTGGCAATGATGGAGTCCAACTCACGCCCCAGAAACCAAACCCCACTTCCGCCTTCCCCAGGAAAGGGCCGCCCAACAACCCCTCTGTCAGGAACACTTCTTTGAAAGGGAAACCACCATGCTCTAGCGTGACGCCAGATTCTGCTCATCACATGACGGTCATATGATATTTCAGTCCCAACCATGCCGCTTCCAGCGCTAAATATCTCCAACTAATATTAAAGGACACATCCAGAATTACTGTGTCGCCCCCAGAACTGTCACCACTTTCACGTGATTGGTCGAAGGTTTTGAGCGGGTTTTTGACGCGATTGGTTCTCGAGTTTCCCACCGAACCTCCTTCTGGGGTTTTCCGAACCCACAACTTCGTTGTGTAATTCGGGGTGTGGCCTTTAAGGAGATTCTAGCTGTTATCGCTAACAGTCATCAGCTTTCCTCTCGCAAAATGTATAGCCCAACATCCATTCCCGTGACTCACGGTGGCGGATCGAACTAATAACGGGGACGTTTTCCTCGCCGCATTCTGCGCCAAGCGCCCTTCTGGAAGAATCAACAGCAGCGACTTTCCACACACTTATTGGCATCGGACAATTCTTGCCAAGAATCAGAGCTTTTCCCATGGATCTCGAGGAGAATGAAGTGAATTTTGACTCGGAGTCAAATCAAATGCCTAGAACAAAAAAACATATAGGAGATCTCGTGAAACATACCTGGTCGTTAGATGACCTGGTGGCCTCTAGTATACTTTCAACAAAAAAACTTCCCATAGATCATTCTCTCGCCGCCCCTAGTAGCAGTACCGGCGTAGAAGCATCACTGGGCACACCAACTCAAAAGCACTCGCCGAATCGGCGAAAGGCAAAGCAAGTGGAAGGTCCCGCGAGCATTAGTGACTGGTACGTCCTTGTGCGATGCCACCTCATACTGATTCTCTTGAAGAAAACAAGAAGCATGATTTTATGAAAAACAGGGCTAATGTCTCTCCTTCCTCCCGCCTCGACTTCTTCTTTCAGGCTCATTAAAAGGTGCCACATAAATAAAGTGCCAGTGGTAGCTACATTGGAGGCCGCCTCGACTGAAGTTGAGGCGTCACACGGCATTCCCGCGCCTTCTGCCCCATCCAGTGCGGCACTTCTTTCCACCTGGAACGACAACACTTTCCTGAGACAACATCGAGGGTCGCAGCAGCAGCATTGTTACCAGCAGCAGCAGCAGCAGCAGCAGCAGCAGCAGCAGCAGCAGCAGCAGCAGCAGCAGCAGCAGCAGCAGCAGCAGCAGCAGCAGCAGCAGCAGCAGCAGCAGCAGCAGCAGCAGCAGCAGCAGCAGCAGCAGCAGCAGCAGCAGCAGCAGCAGCAGCTGCTGCTGCTGCAGCATCAACAACAACTGCAGTGGTTGCTGCACCAGCAGCAGATACTTCAGAAACATCAGGAGAAGGTTAACTCCTTTGCAGCCCGCACTTCAGCGGTCAACGAAGTCAGCAATGTCAATGATGTCAATGTGGTCAATGGAACAAACACAATCAGCAAAGTCCAAGTCAATGCGGTCAACAAATGCAGTGCAGCCAACGAGGTCAGCGCAGTCAACAAAGTCAGCACAGTCAACAATATCGGTGCTGTCAACAATATCAGTGCAGTGAACAACATCCGTGCGGTCAACGGATTCAGTGCAATCAACGAAGGCAGCACCGCCAGCGATGACACTGCATTGTGGAACGAGCTGCAAGGCCTTGTGGATAACGCAATGAGAGACGGTACCCAACTGCAGCACCCGTCACCGCAGAACCCGTCAACGTACGTGAGAGGCGGTTTTGTAAGAAGCGGGTCCACTCGCATCGTCCACTTCCCTGCGTCTCCTGCTCAGAGCCCAATACTACCACGCGCGCACACGGTGCCACAACGCACAATGGTCAGCAAGGGGGACCTCTCCAGCGCTGGGGCATCGGGCAGTAGACAGCTCCAGATCCCTGCTACGGGAAGCCAGGGGAACTTCCTGAGGGATCCAGCTCCAGATCTCACTCAGTGCATCTCACATGCGGAACTGCCAGGGGGGTCTCACTTTAACTGCGGAAATGTGGCAGGGAGAGGTGCTGGGAATGGTGCTAGTGGTGCTGGGATTGGTGCTAATGGTGCTGTGAGTGGTGCTGGTGGTATTGGGAGTGGTGCTTGTAGTGCTGGGGGAAATGGTGCTAATAGTGCTGTGAATGGTGCAAGTGGTGCTGTGAATGGTGCAAGTGGTGCTGTGAATGGTGCAAGTGGTGCTGTGAATGGTGCTAGTGTTGCTGGGAATGGTGCTAGTGGTGCTGGGAATGGTGCTAGTGATGCTGAGAATGGTGCTGGTGGTATTGGGAGTGGTGATTGTGGTGCTGGGAGCGGGAATGGGAGTGGTGCTACTGGTGCTGGGAGTAGGAACGGGAGTGGTGTAGGGGGGGGTACAAACGGTGCTGGGAGTGGTGCTAGTGGCGATGGGAGCGGTGCCAGTGGTACTGGAAGCGGTGCTGGTGGTGTTGAAAGTGGTGCCAAAGTTGCTGGGAGTGGTAGCATGAGTGGTGGTGGAAATGGCGCCGGGATTGGTGGAGGGAGTAACACTAGTGGTGCTAGGATTGGTGTACAGGGTGGTGCTAATGGTGCTGAGAGTGGTGCTAGAGGACATTCTGGGAGTGGAGGTGCTGATTGGAGCCCAGTCCAACGCGCTGATCCACACAGGGCTTCTGGCACAGAAGGGAGCCGCGGGCCAAACACGTTGGCAGAGGAACGAGCAGAGGAGAAGAGGCGCAAGCGGCAGCTGTCCAACTGTGCGTCCTCGCGAAGAGCGCGGCAGCGGCAGCACGACAGGTTGGCAGAGCTCGAGCTCGACACTGCAAAGCTGAAGCTGGACAATGCGAGTGCGCAGCGACGGCTATCGGAGGCCAACGAGCAAATACGGCTGTTTCAAGCGCGGAACGAGCGATCAGAGCAAGAAGTGAGGCGTCTTCGGCTGGAGCTGAAAAAACTTAAGCCATCGGATTGGAATGTTGATGGGGATGGGAACCTGGAGGAGGGTGAAGCATGCATGCCGAGCGAGCAAGGTGCTGCTCGGTGCCAAGGTGTTGGTAATGGTGGGGCCTCCTCTGACCCGATGCCATATAAGACAATTGAGGAGTGTCGTTCTCCTGGAAGCACTCCTACTTCTCTACCTAGGAGTGTGTCCATCAAGCCTAAACTCACTCCTGGAAACCCTGCTTCTGCTTCTACTGTGGTTAAAAACGTAGATGAACCTTGCAGATAATGCATGCATACAGGGCGGAGGTGGAGAGAGGGGGAAGGGGGAGGGGACAGGGGGGTGGGGAGGGGTCGATCGAGTGTGCCAGGATCTCGCCATTCTCAAGCAGCACCTCTTCTCGTGAGCCACTCTCACTCACCTTTGTCCGCCCTTCTTCCGGTCTTCTTCGCCATTTCTTCCGCCCTGCTTCCCCATTTCTTCAGCCCGTCTTTCACTTTTCTACCACCCTTCTTCCGCTGATTCCCAGCACCACTCTGAACTTCTTAGATGTAACCCAGTACTACTTTTGCCGGTTCCTTCCCTCATCCTCTTCCCTCCCCCCCGCCCCCCAGTTATCAGGGGCACATCTCAGCAGCACTGATGCTAGGCCTGCAGCTGTACACCATCTATCCGCATGGCAGCACCATCTCACCATCTATCCTTCCCTTCGTCCTCCCTCTTCCTCTCGCCTTCTACCTGATGTCGTTCCCTCTTCCTCTTCTTACCCACCCTCTCCCCCCCTACCCTCCCCGTTCCAACCCTCTCACCCTAGCTACCAGGGGCACATCTCATCTCAGCAGCGCTGGTGCTAGGGGAGATGGACGTGTCGGGCCCGCAGATATACACCATCTATCCCTCCGCTCGTCCTCCCTTCCTTCCTTACCCCTTTTTCTACCCGTCGTTACCCCACCTCCCCTTCCCCTCAGCTACCAGAGCCACATCTCAGCAGCGCTGATGCGGGGTGGGATGGACGTGTCGGGCCCGCAGCTATACATCACCTATCCTTCCCGTCTTCCTCCCTACTTTCGCCCTTCTTCTGCCCGACCACTGTTCCGAACCCCTTTCCCCCCTCCTCCCTCCAGCTACCAGGGGCACATTTCAGCAGCACTAGTGTTGGGGGGAATGGACGGCAGCTGCCCGCAGCTGTAAACCATCTATCCGCATGGCAGCACGGACCGCCTGCCCTTTGGGTCCATGGGGTCGGGGTCGCTGGCTGCTATGGCCATCCTCGAGTCCCAGTACAAGGAGGGCATGACGGTGAGTCTCATAACCTTATAACGAGGATGAATGTATGGATGGATGGATGGGGCCTGAGGGCCCGCAGCTGTACACCATCTATCCGCATGGCAGCACGGACCGCCTCCCCTTCGGGTCCATGGGGTCCGGGACGCTGGCTGCCATGGCCATCCTCAAGTCCCAGTACAAGGAGGACATGACGGTGAGTCTCATAACCTTATAACGAGGATGAATGCATGGATGGATGGATGGGGCCTGAGGGCCCGCAGCTGTACACCATCTATCCGCATGGCAGCACAGACCGCCTCCCCTTCAGGTCCATGGGGTCCGGGTCGCTGGCTGCTGTCTCTTCCGTTCACTCTTTTGTCTTGTCTTTCATGCTCACTCACACTCTTTCTGTGTATCTTCCTTACAGTCACACCCGGCTCCCACTGCTTCCCTACACCCACATGCATTTTTTCCTGTCTTTCCGGCAAAAGCACTCACACTCTGTCTGCTGTCTCTCTTAAACTCTGTTTCCTGTGCCTGCAGAGGTTTTGACCACTAGGGTTCAGGATTTCAGAAAGCTGGTGACAGTTGTAGATGGGGATTCAATGCAAGAGTAATTTTGAGGGTATTGTTTTTTCTCCTTTTTTTGCACCAGTGTATCGGATTTTCTGTAAAACATAGGGCAAGTTATAAGCTTGCGTTCCGCATTGCTTAGTTTCATGTACCGGACAATACATGGAGAGAGAATGAACAACTTGCACTATTTGGCTGTTTACAATATCAATTTTGAAGGGTTATTTTTTTTGTTTTCACCTTTTGGTACAGGTATTGCTTACGTGAAGTAACTACTGGTAGCACACACATATGGAAAGCTAACTTTTGAAGTTTCCAACGGAGGCTTGTGATACATACAGTACTACCAGTACGACTATCCATCTCAACATTGCCATGCACCTCTATGGGTGTAAGGTTACCTTGGAATGGCTCCCTCAGGGCGGGTCGAGCGCGTATGTTTTCAGTTGGTTTACGGTTCAATATGTGCGGTTAGTTGTCCTGTGTCATGGTCCAAAGCGGTGAAGATTGAGAACCATTTTGGCGCCTGTACAGGAGCTGTAAATCAGGGCCTCAGATTCGTTTTGGCTTAGGCTGACTGGTCAAGCTTAGGAGTGTGTTCATGGCTGAACAGTCAGTGTTGGTGTAAAAAAAAAAAAACGGATTTTCCAGGGTGTAAATTACAAAAAAAGCTGAACGATCGGCGTCACTATTTGGTGAAGACTGAACCATTTCAAACAAGTTCTGCGTCGATATAACAAACATTTACAGGAAATCTAATTAAACATATCCTCATCATCTTCATCATCATCATCCTCTTCACTATCACTAGAGCCTAAAGAAAGCGCCACATCCAGCGACGACCGCCACCATGCTAGCTTCACGGGCAGACCGCGGCCCGCGAGGCACCATGGCGACGAGGGAAAGAGATCATTGGCGAGGTGAGGAGAAGGCAAGGCTGCGCAACGAGGGGAATGCGGGACGAATGGAGGCTGCAGGGAACGACACAAAAGTTTGGCTGCGAGGGGAAAAGAAAGGGAATGGCAAATGAATACATGTATCCTAGATTGTGCTTACTAAGATGTGCGGTTGCTGCTGAGCTGACGAGATGGAAATTAGAATACGAGAAACTTTGCTCGGCGAGGGGAAAGGAAAGGGAACGAAAAAGAAACAACCCTATCCTAAATCGTACGTATTAGGCAAACTGGTATGGTGCTACCGCACTGACGGGCTGCGGAGGAGAGCTGCACAGGGACGCAGGAGGAAAAAATACTGCGATCAGAAGTGATCGTAACCAGGACCACCTCAGGAAGGTTCGCACACTTCTAGTCTAGTGGTGGTGGGCCCTTGACCTCAATAGCAGAGTGAATGTAAATGCTCGAGATGAATTAAAACATGCAAATACGGCGGTAAAAATAAGAGTACAGGGGAATATGAATCGGCCTAGCTAGCCATGTACTCTAAGGGGTACATTCCCTTATTCAAATTCATTCCCAACTGTGCTGAGCGTACAGTTACGAAAACTGTTCCAGCCCGATTCCTCCTGACTGCAGCTGCGTGATGCCGTCTGCTTCGACGGTCCATATCCATGCTAACCGCTGACGCTTCGAGTCAATCCCGACTCCTCGCATTCGTTCTCGTTACTGCGTGTTTCCTTAGCTGCGATGAGGAGTGTACTTGTGATGTTCAGGCATTACTATTCGTAACACCCCCCTTCACTCCTGGCCGCAGCTCGACTTGACCTGCTTGACCACTCCGCTGAGTTCGGAGCAGTGTTGATATTGCTGCCGTGGCGGTCACTTCATGAGAAAGTCTGCTGCCATGTCACCAGTCGGGCAGTAGGTCAAGTCAACCTTGCCCTTGTCCACTTCGTCCTTCACGAAGAAATACCGCAGCGCAATGTGCTTGGTGCGGTTGACGAAACCAGGATTGTTCGCGATGCGAATCGCGCTCTGGTTGTCGCAGTGGAGACGAAAGGTGGGCGAAGCTGGAATTTTCGCCTCCTGCAGAAGTTCCTGCAAGTAGAGGCCTTCACGAACTACTGCAGTTGCTACGATGAATTCCACTTCGGCTTACGACAGGGCAACCAGCACCTGCTTTTGCGAGTTCCAGGAGATTGGTCTCGTTGGTTTGAGTTGGAACAGGAAGCAAGTCCTGAACCGTTGATTGTCGGGATCTGCTGCGTGATCGGCGTCCACGTAGCTGATGAGGTTGAAGGATGGGGTTGGTGCAGCTGAGTAACGCAGCCCAATCTTGGGCGTTGAAACGAAGAATTGTAGGGCGCGCTGCAGGTCCAGAAGATTCTCAGCCGCTGGTTTGCGTAAGTACCGAGCCAGCTCACTTGCGATGTAGGAGAGGTCACGCCTGCATGTGACAGAGGCAAAGAGCAGGCATCCCAGCTGCTGCTCGTAAGTCTGAACTCCAGCAGGGGATAGGGCTTTGTTGTCAGGTTTGTGGTTGGGTCCTGGGGTGCGGCAAGGGGTGGAGAGTGGTGCAGGCGTAATGTTAAAGCGCTTGCTGAGCTCCTCCGCGTACTTGGCTGCTGAAAGATGAATGCCTTCCGGCGAGTAGGTGATGTTGAGCCCGAGAAACTGCTTGACGTCATGGTTGCAGGTGATGTCGACGTGCCCTGCGAGGTTTTTCTCAAATTGTAGAGGAGGTTGTCAACGTAGACCTTGAGTAGGATGTATTCGCAGCGGAAATCGCGGCGATACATCCGAGGATCGTGAGGCAGCTGCTTGAAGCCGATTTCAAGCAATATGTTGTGCAGGTACTGCTGCCAGAGCCTCGGCGCTTGCTTGATCCCGTAGAGGGACTTTCTCAGCTGACAGACGCGTGGGTCCCTGTCGCCGTATGTGTGCGGCTGCTCCACGTAGATCACTGCATCTGCTAATGCGTACAGGAATGCATTCCTTACATCAATCGGGCGGAGTGGTAGGTTTCGTGCGGCAGCGATGGCGAAGAGGATTCCCGAATGGGTTGGCAAGGAATCTTGCCATTTCGGCGTGATTGACGGAGGGATGGTCGAACAGGTGTACCTAGACATCCGGAATTCAGGGCACCTAAGTGAATCTCCATTGCAGGGATTTCAGCCAACCCCTTCGTTGCAACTCTGATGAGACAGCGTACAGGACAGGAAAAAAACTGATATTTCAGCACAGATAATTTTAAAAACTCTGAACTTTCAGCAAACACACTAAAAAAAAAAAAAAAGCTGCCACAACAGCCCCACTATTCTCCCACCACTGAAATCACAGCCTTTTTACACCTAATCAGCCTTTTTTAGCTGACTTCTGAGGGCCTGTTGTAAATGTACGCGCTGGACCTGCCCTCACTCTGTTCATTAGCCGGTTGTAATGGTATACTGAAACCAGAAATGTCAGTCAGTTTGTCAATTTCTTTAGTACCCGTTACTGTTTCTTTCTTGGCAATGGAGCTTCTAACGGATCATTCAGTTGCAGAACCGACAATCACATCCACCGAGCACCAAAACAGGTTCCCCTATCAAATGCAGTTGGAAAACGGCGAACTTGTGGGGAACCTTGAGAATGCAATAATTACCGAGTGTACCTCGAAGAATACTAAGAACCTTCGCAATTTGCGTTGTAGCTTTCACAGTGATTGTGCTACAAGCAAAATGCTGTAGATTATCGGGCCACATGTGCTTGGGTTGATCTTCGACAAATGGGATGGGACGGTGAATCCAGCCAACTCAAGCACACACGCAACACCTCTAACAATTGAGCAGTTGTGGAAGCAAGACACGCGCAGTTCGTGCCCCCTTCGATAGATCCTGTGCAAGCATGCCCCAGAAGCGGGTTCAGTCAGGGGCGGGACCATCAAAGTCCAGATGAGACCAGACTAGACTTGCCAGGGATGCTGTCCAAAATTTGAGCGTGCAAATGTTTTGTCTGTTTACACATCATGCGAGCAGCTGAACTGTACAGCAACACATGAACTGGGATGCATACTGTAGATCACAATTTCGGAGCTGCCTAACCGCCCTCGGAGATTTCTACAATACACCCTGTTTCTCGACCCTCTCACCTTGCGCGATTCGCTGCTACAGTGCGGTCAGGTGCCATAAACCGTATGGCTGAAACCTGCGGGCAAAGCCGCACCAGCTGACGGAGTGGTACTGGGGGCAAAAATTTTCTTTATCGCTGTATACCCTTTTCAACCGCTTTGAAACGCTTGGTTAATGTTCTTTACCATGCAGCATCCTAGCTAACCGCTTTCTTGTGAATGTGCTTGTACCGTCGGTGATAAGACCATTTCAAACGTGGTGACGTTCTACAACCTGTGCATGTTCTGCAACCAGATGCTCTGCTAGCGCGAAACAGGGTGTAGTGTACCTTACACGACTGAGCTAG